TTTTGGTGATTAACGGAAAACCCATAAAAATCGTGCATAAAATGTATGTTACGGAAATATCTTGAAATTCTTATACTGATTTCTTTCGGTACCGATGCGCCAATGAAAATAAACTATTAAACGAACGCGATTAAACGACATTTACAGACGACCACAGGACACCGATAGCTGGTGTTGGTATCCACTCTAAAGTTCCACCATAGGGCTGCTAGAAGTATTACCTTAATAGATACAGCTCTTTAGGTTATTGCAGGTACGCCTGACTTTAACGATTGGGAACAAGTAAAATTCAATCAAGAATTGAATTTTGATTTTCAATCAAAAATTGGGGGATCCGACCCAAATAAGCTTTTGTGAGAAGGATCGAAACTTATCGAAACTTTCCTAAATTGAAACTTTCCGATTAACAGTCAGTTGTTGCTACTCTGCAAAATAATATATACATTCCAACATACTTCCTCAAAGTTAACAAATTGATGTGTTTCGTTCTGCAAAGTCTTTTAGTCGTAATGTCAGCTGGCATCTTCTCGGTTGGTAAGTTATCTATGCCGATGGTACTGGATTTTTGTGTGTCCAGATTGCTTTGTGTCTGTCCTATGTGTTTTATGCGCGGATTTTATCCTATGTGTTCTAATCTTCTAAGCTCTTACTTTTCGCTGGATCTGGTTATTGTTAACGATTTTAACAGTCTTTCAGATGATTTCCATTAAGTTTAGAAGTGCCTTCAGATAAATTGCTTCCTTGTTTGCCTCAAATATTGAAAAATTTTCTGCCTCTGTGCTTGATAGAGCCACGGATTACTGCGTCCGGGCCTCCCACTTTATGGCCTCCTCTACTGGGATTAACGCCTCAACAAAATGTGCTTAGATAGCTAAGGATTGGTTTAGCTACCTTTTAGTGCTCGCCTTGAATCGCATTGAGAAAAATGACTGCTTATACAGTCGGTAGGGTCGTAAATGAAACAAACATTAACGAACTAAGTACATTTTGATATCGATACCTATTTTCTTCGATTTCCTCTGTATGCTCTGCCAGTTTTAAAGGGCATTTGACTTTCATTGGTGTCTCTGCTGGTTTGCATCCGGTCATACCAAATCTCTTCATTTTTCAAAATTTCTTCCATCTCAAAAATGTAGCTAAGGTTATCCTTTGTTTTCTTAAACCATTCCGGATAATTTGATCTTCCTGTCGCTTTACTAAGAAGCAAGGATCCTGTTGCATAGCTTCCAATTGAAGTTTTTATAGTTCCTCGGTTAGTTTAGGGCACCAACGCAACCCTGACTGTTTTAGTCCGTATAGTGCCTTTCTTTGAAGCACAATGGGTTTTTAAAATTTCTTTCCGTTTAACATAGTATTTGCGCCATGTTGATAGTTTTCATATCTGAAAATTTTTTGAAGTCTTCTGGGACCTCCATATACAGTAGCGGACAATGAAATCCGGACACCTAAGTACTTGCACTAAATGTGAACTTTGCATTAGTGTGGTAGGAGCGCGTGTTATTCGATCGAGTTGAAATTCGTTATATCCGGAGGGTATTTAGCTTTCATGATCAAAAAGAATTTCTTAAATTATTAAACTTCTTATGTAAAAAAAATTTTTTTATATATGTCGAAAATGACTGAAAATGTCTAAGGGGCCTATTGGCCTTACAATCGAAAATCTTAAGTTTCCGAGGAATAAGCTCTAATGTTGGACCTTTTGAGTCTACTTTCGAGTATTTCCTACAAAATTTTGAGAAAACCTGAACTCTAAAGCATTTTCCAGGATCAGGAAAGAAAAAGAAGGCCAACTACCACCAGGATCGCTTTATGTATTTTCTGGCCTATGCACTTAAATAAATTTTTGATAATGAGTTGTATGGATACGTGAAAAGAACCACCCCCATCCACGTCCTTTACTCTCATACGTCTCCCCAATTTACTCCCTAAGGTACATTTTGGACCTTGCAGAAGATCTTGCAAATTGGTTCTGCTTGAACAACAGCAACACCTACACATTACAAAGCTTAAGACTTTTTTTTAAGATTTCGTTTTTTAATCAATTAGTCTTATTATCGCATCGGAGATTTCTTAAGGATCGGTCAACTTAATCTGATAGTTGCAGAGTATATTAGATTTTTTTTTTTTTCCTTATTACTCCTCTCGGGAGCTTAGGGCCTCTACAAGGGCTCTCCACCTAACTTTATTTTTCGCTGTTTTTGCTTTATTGTGTCCCAGATGATGTTCTTTCGGGATATTTCTAGCAGTGCTGTACGGCGCCAGGTCATCTTTTTGGGCGACCCACTCTTCTGCTTCCTTGTGGGTGTTCCACCATTCCAGAGCCATTCTTACGATGCTTCCTGGTCGTCAACGGGTTGGGGGGGTGGTTGGTTTTTTTCTCTTCTTGTATTAGTTTCGTTAATCAATTGATTTTTTTTTCAGTTGATCTGGTGATTAGCCAGGTGCAACCTATCCCAGGGGTGGGGCTGCCACCATATCTGGGAATACCGTTTTTCGACCTCACAAGTTTAGTAGCAAAAGAGACCACTAAGCATAATGAGGCCGAAAAACTTTGGAGGTCATGATTGTCATGAGTGGGGTTCGAACCCACGACCCATCGCTTAGCGTGCAGCTACACTACCCACGAGGCTATGACCCCCCCCTTTTAGATTACTCCAAGGGTATATCAACTTTCGCTCCACCCGAAGTAAGCTTTCCTTTCTTTTTTATGTAATTTTACCCAAATGTACACTACGATACCATAATTGTTTTTTAATATGCAAACAACGAAAATCCCTTAGATCCAAATTATTTGGGTTACAGATTTAGAATCCTTTGAAAATTTTCTGTTAAAGAGGTAAGGCTTAAAACTGTTCTGCGATCATGTTTTTTTTTCTTCTTGCACACATGTTTCGTTTTAAATCGGGTGGCAGCGATTCTTGAGTCGAAAGAGGTTTGCTAGAACTATCCTATAGTAGGAAATAACCAATCATTCATAGGGACACATTTTGGTCCATGTTTGTCCACATATTAAAAAAATCAAAATATGTATTTTGCAATTTGTTATCAAAATAAAACTCATGCCAATTGTACATATATGCATATTTATATGCATTGTATATATATTTTGTATCCCTTCAATACCATTCCTCAAGGATTTCTCAAGAAAACCTTTGGGAAAAGGAATTGCCACCCAGCGAATCCTTGGGGTATATTTCATACAAACCATTATCCCCGGGGAGTTTTCAGGGTATTCTGAAGGATTCCTGCAGTAATTCGAAGAGAATTTCGAACTAAATACCACTGGTAATCCCTTGTAATTTACAGTGAAAATTAAAAGGAAATAGCAGGGATTTTTAGCGGAATTCACTGTGGAATCTGAGAGGAAATAACAGGGATTTATAGGGCTATTTACGGAGAAATCTGAGAGGAAATAACAGGGATTTTTAGGGGAATTCACTGAAGAATTAGCGAGGAACTGTAAGGATTTCCAGCCCCACCTTTCCTTTCAAAAAAGAATTAAATAAATAAATTAGTCATTTTTACAAATTATTTATTTATTTATTTTTTTTTTTTGTTATTATACAATAATATTTTTAAAGATTTTGTCAATGGGCCGCGCTTCAATAAATTTGTCACTGCGGTGGTCTGCAAAAATTAATAGGTATTAAACAACAAATATGAACCACGTTTCCGAGCGGCAAATGCCGTTTAATAAATATATGTACATATTTTTTAGGCAAGTTAGAGCGTGTTCCAAAACTTTCTCCGGCGAGTTCCCCGGAGCCACGTTAGATATACTATCTGTAAATAAAATAAATAAAAATAAGATATTGCTTATATTATTTGTAATTAATATACTTACCGAACAAAACTCCATAAAAATTTGAGAAGGCCTTCAATTTTTTTTTCCTCTAACCCCGTCTATATTATATTGGACGATCAGCTCCCCAACAATAATATTTTTTAAAGATTTTGTCAATGGGCCGCGCTTCAATAAATTTGTCACTGCGGTGGTCTGCAAAAATTAATAGGTATTAAACAACAAATATGAACCACGTTTCCGAGCGGCAAATGCCGTTTAATAAATATATGTACATATGTACGTATATAAATATGAACCACGTTTCCGAGCGGCAAATGCCGTTTAATAAATAATATGTACATATGGACATATATTGAACGGCCTCTCGGTATTTAATAAATAACTTAATTATATGCACATTACTTTTTAATTGTACTCACCAGAATTAGATTTTTAGTCACTCAAATTTTTCTTTTCTTCACAAACGCGTGTGCTTTCGGTGCAACTTGAACATCAAATGCAAAGAGAAGGGGGGAGGCAAGAGGAAACCGAAAATTGACAACCGAAAATTCTGGCGCGTGCCAGGGTATAGTCGATCAAAGCAATGCCTTGTAATTAGAATCGCACAATAATCAAACATGAACATTTTTGCTTTGCCTAAAGAAATACATTTTTAATACATTTTAATATACCATATGATTAGATAAGAAAAATTAATTAAATATATTAATTATTTAAATATAATCTTAAATATATATAAATATTTCAACATATTTTAAATAGGGTATTCTGACGTCGCTTCCATTCATTTGGTTTTCGATACAGATTTTTTTCTCTCCCTTCCCTCCATCTACATCTCTCTAATTGTCTCTCTGTCGCATGCCGCTGCTACGAAAATATTACGTAGAAGCTTCGAGAATCATCGTCAAAAACCGAAAGCAGGTAGAAGTTTCCCCTTTCGTTTCGGACTTGAGTAAACGAAGCCCATGCAATTTGTTTTTGTTTTTCGAACATGTCACCAGGAAAAGTCGGGGAAGGAATTTTGGTACTGAAGGGATAATATAAAAACTCATTGTATATGTATATTACTATATTATTATGTATTATTATAAAAGTATGTATTTTATTTAATATAAAAATGTAATGATAGTCATTGATAGAACTGATGACTTTACAATGGAATGTAAGACAATATTGAATATAACAAATTACTTACATCAGGAAGACTTTGGCACTGTGTTGTACTGTTTTTTAGTAAACGAAGTCCAATAGGGCATTGACACGTGTAACCAGATGGATTACGTAAACAAAGATGGGAACATCCTCCATTATCATGACCGCAAACATTTTCAATATTTTGTTGATTTTTGTAAATAACTTTAATGTCCATTAATCCTTCGATATTCGTCATAACATCATGCCTTGAACTGGTGTTACGCCTATCTGTCATGTGAAGGGCTTTAGACTTCCAATCTGTCCAATAAATACTGTCTTCAGTCACAGCTAAGGCATATGGATGGTGCAAGGAAGACAAGATAAGCTTGCGTTGGTTTCCTGTGTAATCACATGAGTCAATACTTTTAAGAAGTGCATCCACCCAGTATATTCGCTTGCTTTTTAAGTCAAGTGACAATCCATTTGGCCACCCTAAGTTTGCGGTAACAATACGGGACCTTTCATTTCCATCTAAATGGGATCTTTCAATTTTACGATAATGTCCCCAATCGGTCCAGAATAAGAGACCAATTTCGTAATCAAGAGCCAAGCCACGTGGTGACTCAAGGTCTTTATAAGCTATTATATGACGATTCCTTCCATCAAGGTTGGCGACCTCTATTGTGTGACGTCCGGCATCTGCCCAATAAATCATGCGACCAATCGAATCAACAATCAAGCCATCTGGATTTTCTAAGCTTTCTCCAACAATTTTATGTACGTTTAATCCATCAGGACTGGATCTCATTATAACATTCTCAATAGTGTCAGACCAAAAAATATTACCCGTTTTCTTGTCGACATCTAATGCTACCGCATTCGAGATCGGGGGTAAGGGCAGAACCACATCGATTAAATGATCAAAATCTAAAGATATTTGTCTTATATCTATTCTATGTGCGAAGATAATATATTTATTTGGGCCTTCAGAACATGTGCGCTTATCATTCTTTAGGTGTACTCCAACTGCGCATGCACAAGTAAAGCTCACAGGATTTAAAAGACATAGGTGGGAGCAACCTCCATTATGCATATCGCACACATTAGAAACACGCCTTCTGTTTCGATGAAAAACACGTATATCCATCAGATCGCTACTATTAGCTATGATTACAGTTAAGTCTTTCCCCTTAAATTTGTCGGCACTCATTACTGACTTGCTATCCCAATCGGTCCAATAGACTCGGTCATCGCTGACATCCAATCCAAATGGATGTCCGAGTCCATCTGTTAAAATAAATTTATTATTTTAAAAATTAATATTGTAAAAAGATAAAGCTTTGTGTTTGAATACATTTTTTTAAGGGACAAATCAACTTAAATCAAACTTTATTAACTGGTGTAAAACAACTTCGGCTCCTTATGAAGTTGGTTTCCGTTTTTTTGTTTTTTAATTCAATCATAGAAAAGTCAAAGGAGGCAGTCACACACCTCCTCCTACTGACCTGCTGTTAGGCGTAGTCGACTCCAACTCCTGGGTGTAAAACAACACTTACGGACCTTACAGACCTCACGGAGATCTCTTCACACGGACTCGTTGCCTTCATCCAAAAAGCTGGATGGGACTATGGGCATTTTAGTAGATAGGAAGTAGATTTGGTAGATAGGGATACTGTCCCCTTGCAATAACTCTTGCCCGTGCGCTATCACAAAGCACTCTAGCGGATCAAGTGGATTCGGGAGGTCAGTGATTGGCCCCCTGCATCGCCGCCTCAACCTAACCTGAGCCTATATCGACGCATTTCCGCGAAAGAATAGTAAGTCGCTTTTTTTCGAAATTGAGATTTTAATGCAAAATTGTTAGGCACCTAATGTCTCACTACTCTGTGAAATATTATAACTGAAAACACTATAGTTCCGACAAAAATTAAGTTTCAATTTTATCGTATGTTACAGGGGGTTTCTAAAAAAAAGTCACAAGCTTCTATTTTCAAAAATACGAAAGTTGATATTGTTGTTGTTGTTGAAATATATAAGTTGAAAGATATAGTCGGCCGATCCTTATGAAATGTTTTGCCAAAAATAGCTCTCATGTCAAATTTGAATTCTCTAACTCTAAAAATACCGTAGTTATACCATTTCCGACAATCAGTTATATGGCAGCTATAGGATATAGTCGGCCGATCCCGGCCATTCCGACTTATATACTGCGTGCAAAAGAAAGAAGGGTGTGTGCAAAGTTTCAAGACGATAGCTTAAAAACTGAGAGACTATCTTGCGTAGAAATGGACAGACAGGCGGACAGACAGACAGACGGACAGACGGACATGCTTTTATCAACTCAGGAGATGATCCTGATCAAGAATATATATACTTTATAGGGTCGGAGATGTCTCCTTCACTGCGTTGCACACTTCTGGACAAAATTATAATACCCTCTGCAAGGGTATAAAAAGCTTCTCCTGTAAAATTGGATTTTTCAACATACGATACTTTCGCGGAAATGCGTCGATATGTCCGATTTTTATAACCTCAATTCTTCTTATTCACATAAATTACCACACACATACAACATTTATTTGTCAAAATTTCATTATCATGATGTGTTCAAAGCTCTCTCAACAATTGATATCTCATTCTCTTCTGGTCCTGATAATGTCCCTAGCTGTGTTCTTAGGCACTGCTATGATTTCCTTTGCTATCCTCTTACTATTTTATTCAATTTATCCTTGGAGACGCTGAAAATCACTTATTAAGAGCTTCCGCGGAATTGCTTAGCTTTCTGCCATTCCCATACTGCAGGAGAAACTGGTTACTTTCCAACTGAAAGATTTTTGTAAAATCATCATTTTCTCTTTACAGCATGGTATTGTCAGGCATCGGTCTACTACAACTAACCGTCTTGAATTCACTTCGATCATCCACAGGGGGTTTTTGAGCCGCATGCAAAATGATGTGCTATACACTCATTTTAGCAAAGCATCTCCATCATCTCCTCCTTCATAATCTGTATCTTATGGTGTTTTCTCCAAAAATGGTTCAGTGGTTGACTACCTATCTATCGAACCGCACGCAACGTGTTTTGTTTAAAAACATTACATCACAGATTATAAACGTTCCATCTGGTGTCCCACAAGGTAGTCACTTAGGACCTATTCTGTTTGTTTTTTTTTGTTAACGATTTACCAAGTATTGTAAACTAAGCTACTACATTTATGTATGCTGATGATAACAAGCTATATTGTTCATTCTTATACCATTTTCTTCATAGACACTTTCAATTAGACCTTAAGGGCTTATATACAGTTGTACCGCACAAAAAAATGGAATTTTAACGATTTTTTTTTTGACTCCATAGAAAATATTTATGAAAAATGTTTTACCGACTTTGTTTAGTACATGTTTCTGGGTACTTATTTGAATTTTTTCATAAAAAAATATTACATAATAAAAATGTTATAGCCGAATTCCCGGATCGTCTTTTTTCGATGGTGTCTTGCGGTGGACATGATATCCCAAAAACGGTTCATCCGAAATCCAAAATTCAAAAAAATTTAGTTAGTATATTGTATTTTCTAGTCCGTGTACGAAGGATTTTTAAAAATTTTAACAAATTATGATTAACAAAAAAATGGCGACGTTTTTAACAAAAAATTGACTTTTTCAAGGTATAAGATTTTCGATTTTTATGCTTTAAAAAAGGAGTTTTCAAAAAAATTGACTAGCTATTATCATAATAAATAGGTGGTCAAATTTAGTGTTGATCGGATTAGTAGTTTTTTAGTAATCGTGTCCACCGCAAAGGTAATTTCCCAAAAAAAAGATTCTGAAATAATCGCGTTTAAAGTTTCAAGTTTTTTCAAGTTTTATTTGCAGGTAGTGCGCTATAAATAGCTACAACTTCGGTTCTAACGCTCCGATCGTTACGACTTTTTGTGCAAGTGTTCTCAACAGTATATACTTAAAGAATATGCAATAAAAAAAAATCGATTTTAAATCAATCACAACTGTAGATAACCCCTTAATGAAGTTTTTTTGTAATGTTGAAACAATCAGCTCTTATTCAACTGCTCAAAGTGTGAGGCGACGTTAAATGAAGTTAAATGACGTTAAATCGCAGTGTTCCTTACATAGTCTCGTACTCACTTGGCAATAACGTGCTAGATCGTATTTCCTTAATTAACGATCCAGGAGTCTTTTATACGGTTCTGATATACTCCATATTGGGGACTCCAGACACATGAACCGTACTTCAGTATCGGACGGACCAAAGAAATGAATAAAATTTTTGTTATGTACGGGTCATTAAATTCTTTTGACCACCTTTTAATAAAACCAAGGACTCCTTTAGCTTTCTTTACCACTAAAGAAATATGGTCGGCAAATTTAAGTTTAATGTCTAAAAGGACGCCGAGATCATTAACCTGAGGTAATTTCTCTAAGAAAATCCTAAAAGAGTAAACCTAGCCTGCAGAGGAGAAGAATGATAAAAAGACATAAGCTTGCATTTTGATCCATTAAGTATTAAATAGTTAGCCGAACACCATTTTTGAAAGTTATCAAGATCAGACTGAAGTCTGCATTGGGCAGAGATGGATTTTTATTGAAGACAAAGCTTTACATCATCTGCATACATAAGAACTAGAGAGTTCGTTAAAGCAGGGGGCAAGTCATTTATAAAAAGAGTAAATAACAACGGGCCATGATGACTTCCTTGAGGGACGCCAGATGTAGCACGGACCAAACGGGAATGTATGTTTTTAATAGACTTTTTGTGTCTTTCCATTTAAGTAGACCACGTTAAAAGGTCTGTAGAAAATTCTAGCATATTCAGTTTATTCAACAAGAGTGAGTTATTGACCGAATCAAATGCTTTGCTGAAGTGTGTGTAAATTACATCGGTTTGTTTGTGGTGGTGGAGCGACGCCTAATAAAGCCATGCTGACAAGGAGAAATGATCGAAGAGCAATGGTGCAAATGAAGAGTTATTAATTTTTCAAATAATTTTGGAATTTCCGACCTTCAAAAGATGCCCCTGTAATTGGCAGCATCGCACTTTTTCCCTTTTTTTTGTAAGGGAATTATGAAAGATTTCTCCCACTTAAGGGAAAAAATATAGGTTTCCAAAGATAAGTTGAAGAGTATTAGAAGAGGTTTGCACAGAGCCCTGGCACAGTATTTTAGCACACAGCCTGGTACTCCATCGGGCCTGGCGACTAAATGGTTTTGACCCTTAGAAGATCAAATAATAAGCTATTCTCGGAGAAAAATTGACAAAAAATAAGATTTGCTGATTGAATTTTGTAAGCGTAAGGCTGATCTGTTAATTTAGGCGGAGAATAAGTTTGAAAAAATTCTGCGAATAAATCGGCAATGGCCTGATCAGATGTCACAGATGAATTTTCAAATGTAAGCAATGGGGGAAAAGATACATGTTTACGCTTAGTGTTTAAAAAGTTATAAAACTGCTTTGGATTCTGAGTAAATTGTTTCCGGCAGCGGCAGCGGCAAATAAATTTCCTGTGACATTCAGCGTTATGCACGGTAAAATTTGACCGAGCTAGGGGATATCTTGACACTACTGCAGGTTTTTTAATATTTAAGTAAGAGCCTTTTTTAGTATTTTTTAGGTTCGTGAGGCACTTTGTAAACCAAGGAAGATTTGTTGAAGCGGACGGATATTTCCATGGCACACATGAATCAAAAAACGTATTTTAAGCGTAAAGAGAGTAAAGCCCTGCTGAGGGTGGCGCAATAATGGAAAGGAGGAAGAAAGGCAAAGCAATCAATAACAGCCCTCAGAAGTGGACATGGTGAAAGAAGATCATTGCGACTCGCTGCGCGTTGTGAAATAAAAAATGACAGACAAAAACGACCACCCTTTCCCGACATTAGAAGTGGGATCACCGCCCCTACAAAATAACTCGGAAAATAGCTAGCGCAGGCTAACCGAACTACTCAAAGCAACTCGCGCCGCATCCGCGATGTTACCGACATTCAACCCCGAAGCCGCAGAAGCCGACGCAGCATCATGGTGAAAAACGGCGGATATGATTCTAAGTGAACATCCGCAAGAAGGTGCATCCTTAGTGATGACGCTCAGAAAATCGCTGCTCGGTAGTGCATCGCAGTGGCTGCCGCAAAATTGTTTTCCTGGAATGAGCTGGTCGCAATTCCGAGAATCGTTCATGGAACGCTACGAAGGCAACGAGACGCCGGCAGCAGTGTTACTCAATATGCCCAGGAGACTTCCCAATGAAAATGAATGCCTCTCGGTGTATTCAAGT